GTACCGGGAACCGAACTCACGACCTTGCACTTGCCAGGCAGGTGCTTTGCCGCTGAGCTAAATCCCCAGCCCCAGCTCATAATTTTTTTTCCATACATTATCTCTTCTCTTTGTTGGCTGTTCCCTTTGCTGTGTAGAACTTTTTCAATTTGTTTTGATCCCATTTGTCAATTTTCCATGCTAGTCTTGTGCACCTGAGGGTCTGTTCAGAGAGTTCTTTCCTACTTCTGCGTCTTCAAAGTTGTACCGATTTATCTTCTAATAGATTGCTCTGTTTTGATCTTTAGATTTTTTATCAACTTCTGTTTTAGTTTAGTACATGATGAGAGATACAGGTCTAGATTCAGTCTGGGGGTGGATAGCCAACTTTCTCAGCAGCACTGATTAAAGAGGAAGTCTTGCCTCCAGTGTATGTTTTGTGCCCCTTTGTCGGAGGTAGGAGAGCTGAGTGTTCCAAGGGGTTGCTTCTGCACCCTCTGTTATTTTCCATTGATCCATGTGTCTGCTTCTGTGTCAGTAACAGCCTGTGTTTAGACAGCAATGTGAAGTAAGTGACTGCAATAAAATCAGTACAGGTAAATCATGATGTTTCATTTGACAAGTAGGAAGTCTTGCGAAATTTGAGAAATCGAATCCATTGGTGGATGTGACAGTTAAGGTGGATTGTCAGTTTGACTGGCTTGAGATCGATCCATGGGATTAACACTACATGTTTATGGGGATGTGTGTGTTGGTCTTACAGGCGAGATTTTGAGGTCTATGTAGGGTCTTTTACTACTTCCACTTTGGCCTTGCTCCCATGCTGTTCCAGGCCTCCTTGAACTAAGCATCTTTGCTCCACCATGCCCTCGAGGCATGGTGTTCCTGCCTTGGAGCCAGGGGACCATGAACTGAACACCCTGAAGCAATGTGCCTATTGACCTGTCCTTCTTACATGGTGGGTGTTTGGTGTTGTGTCCCAGCCATGAGAAAAATCAAGTAGGATCAGATTACAGGTTGTTAAGAAAGAAGTGGAGGCAATTATTACTTGAAAAAGTAGTGTCTGACTAAATAATTTGAAAAGTATGTGACATGTTCCAATAATAACTACGTGCTTAAGAGTGTACTAGGTCCAGGGGTCAAGTTCTCTGCTGCTAATTCCATGCAGAGAAAGTGAGGACCATAGTGTTAAGACTGTGCTTGCTAGCATCTCAGGCACTCTGCACCCTCCAAACCTTTGGGTTTTGTGTTGAAGACTTTCATAAACTTGTACAATCCATATTTGGACAAATCAAATGAAATGGCTTTTTCATGGGTTATTGTAAGCATACATAAGATGAACACACATAAATGTAATTATCTCTGCCGTGTGTTACACTAAGGAGGTAATGCTAAATGATCTGACTTCTGGATTTGGAGAGAAAATCAAAATAAAACTGCCATTCTCTAAATATTTGGGTCTCCTTTATACCCAAGTGTTGGAACTTTATGACTGAGGCATTGGAGTGAAGAACCGGCATCTTTAGGAGGTGGCTAGGAGTGGTCCCTTAAACATGAGCTTACAGAGGAGACACTCATCTTTCCATGCTCTTTCAAGTAGACCTTGCCTATTTTCATGTAGTTTTCTGTTTTTAGTGGAATCTTCATCCCTGGGATACGCTTGAGGAAAGAGATCTGCCTGTGGAATGCACATTGTCCCTTTAGAAGCGGGAAGACCGGAATCCTGACTTTAATTCTCCTTGCCAAACTACAGCGTTCTGAACCCAAGCAGCCTCTCCTCCTATTCTTGTGCTCCCCTTCCAGTTGATATTTGTATCTAGAAGCATCTCAGATCGCTCTATTTCCAGTCAGAGAACACGTCTGCTAAGCACAGCTTGCACCGGTTAGCCTGTGTGTGTGTGTGGCGGGGGGGAGTTTCACGGAGGCCCTTTATTAAGAGTGGGCACATGGAGAGTAACAGGGACGTTACTGATTAACGGTTTCTAAATCTGTCCACTAGTCCACTCTTATTTTGTGTTGAACTCAGTACTGGACACTTTGACAGCATCTAATCCGGAAGAATCCTCTCAGGGTGTGCAGTGGTGGCCCACAGCGTTTCCTTCCCACATTTATATCCCAGCGTCACCCTTTCTCGCTTCCCACAGCTGCTCAGAATCAGTGTTCCCTCCCACCTCTGCTGCCTGCTTTTAAATCCTCCTTACAGGGACTTTTTTCTTTGAATATTCGTTTTGCTAAGCCAGCAACAGCTTGTCAGCTCAGGCTCCTCACAGGATGCGATCGCCAGAGGATGCACTTTGAAACAAAACACAAGTCCAACTCTCACCAACAATAAAAGGAGTAAACGCTCCGGATTATCTCTGTGACTATGGATTCCTTTTCTCTTTTTTTTTTCTTTGCATAAAATTCAAGTCAAGTCTTTATCTGAACCAATTCAGTACCATCTTTATTGTTTCAGCTCCTGAGAGCGCATAGGAAGCCTGGATCCTCAGGCCTGGAGCTGGTTATTCAGGCTTTGTTTCTTTACTGTGTGACCTTCAAAAATTTCCTCAAACTGTCTCAACTCACCATTCCGTTCTGTACTATCAACACCCTCTTCACAAGATTGTTAGTGGATGAAATGAGTTATAATCAAAAGCCCACATACTGGTGCCCAGCACCTAGTAAATACTAAGGATTTGCTATTATTCTGTCTTGGTACAAAGCTAAATTCTGATATTGATAATAATGATAATCATCACCCTGAAATAATAATTTAATAAATCACATCCTTTCCCACTGTGATGGTGTGTGTTAATCTACACTCTGTCAGCTTAAACCAGAGCACACACAACAGGTCACGGGACCGATCTGTGGTCTTGTCTGTCTTGCAGGGAAGCGAAACTCTAACACTTTGATGTCAAGGCAGTGAAGGAGCAGCTTTCTCGCAGGTGATCAGGAATCACCTCAGCAGTGTTGTAGGAAAATGGCAGCTGTTCTATCACCATGAATGCAAAGGGACAAGAAGTATCAAAATACCCAATGAACATGTGCAGCTAAAAGTAAAGCACGTAGTGATAGATGGAAACTATGAAAGTTGCAACAAAATTTCAAAGTTTATATTTTAAATCATTCCTTACTCACAAAACCTATCGGATAAAATTATCATCACAGTATTTTCCTAAGTGTATATTTTAGCACTACAAAGGCAGTAACGATATGACACAAATGATTTCTATCATTTGTTTCCCTCAGAGTACTTCTGAACACAAATCTGCATTGAGAGGAAAGATCTAGACAGTGCAGAAGGGATCGGAAAGGGTCAGCTCAAGGAAAATTGACTTGCAGCTGGGACCCAACCTTGACATATTTTATGCATACATGCTGGAGTTCTACAGGGCTTGGGCTCGGTGGGGCCGGGCTCTCAGGTGACAGGGAACAGTGCCAGTGTGACACGCATGATTCACATGGCCAATATTTCCATGCTGTGCTCTGATCATTTACAATTTTAAGGCCACAAGTGTCCAATCTCATATATTTGTAACTGTTGCTTAGGTATTTCCACTTTGCTGTGGAGCTATTGAAGCTCATCTTGCTCGAGGGCAATAAGCCCAGCTTTATGTGTAACCCTGCTCCCTTTACCATGAAGTTTATCCTCTATTAGTACATCTGGATTAAGTTAACACAGCCTTAATAAATTATATTTAAGTCATTCTCCAATTCATTTAATTTAAAATTCAAGTTATCATATTAATGCACTACAGTTCTAAAGTATGTATATATGAGTAAAACTCTGTGTTTTCTTCACAGAGTACTTAACATGGGCCAGTCACAGAGTTCCAGGCCCTTGTCTTTAATGAAGGGGCACAATTATGTAACGGATACAGTCATAGACATCTTCTTTCTTATTGCCCAAATATGTTAAGAATAATATTATTTCAGCACAAGTTGAATAGCTACTACATCTGTACACATAGAAAAGATATATTATGAAAGAATGTTTTTACTTAAAAACTAGTTCTTTGCTGGGCATGGTGGTGCATGCCTGTAATCCCAGCTAATCTGGAAGGGAAAGCAGGGAGGTCACAAGTGCAGGACCAACCTGGGAAACTAAGGGGGACACTGTCATAAATGCAGGAAAGAAAAAGGCAGGGTCTGCAGCTGTGTCGTACAGCACTTGTCTAACTTGTGTGGAGTCCTGAATTCACCACTCTTTCCACCCAAAACAAACAAATTAGCAAAATAAAAAACAAAGACTTTACTTTTTAAGTATGAGGATATAAAAGATAAAGGGAAGTTATTAAGTTAATGTGATGGAGAAGAAATAGAGAAACCATAAATTCCCTCATTTCATTGGAACGATTTTATGTGGTTAGAATTGCAGAACAAAGAAAATGGATGGAAAGACCCTCTGCCTCTGAGACTAGGCATCCAAGAACTGCAAAACTCAGTAGCTGAGACATGACAGAAATAGAAATTCCATTATATTTCTAAGTTAATATCTTTAGCACAGTGTAATTATTACTATAATTATAGAGGCTATACTTGGCAGTTTTATATAATTTTTAATTTGATCATTTTCTAAA